ATATATATATAGATAGATAGATAGATAGATAGATATTGCTGTTGTTCCTAAGTGCTGTTGAGTCAGTTCCAACCTATAGCAACCCTGTATAGGGTTTCCAAGGAGTGGCTGGTGAGCTTGAACCATTGATTGACCTTGCAGTTCAAACCAATTTTGCAGTCCAGCGCACTAACCACCCACAGCACCACACCCGGACTCCATATATAAACAGGTTAAAAATTAAAGCAGGAATAATATATGCCATCCAATTACTGATCATAACTAGAATGGCTATACAAATATCAGACTGTGTAGACTATAGGACAAGGAATACAGCATAATATTAGATGCACCAAGAAGGGCATAACATGTTATCAGAAGGGGAATTCATCAGAAGACAAAATAATGCTGCTTACTCAGTAAGGGTATAAAGATGAGGCTTTTTTACAGCCTCGGAAACCCTATACAGGGTTGTCAAGTTGGAACAATGTTATCAACTTACTTGACACTGTAGAACACTAGATTAAACAAAAGGATGCCTGGTGGTGCAGAGGTTAAACACTCAGTTGCTAGCCAAAAGATCAGTAGTATGAACCCAGCAGGCACTATGTGAGATAAATGGCACAAAACAACAAAGACAAAATGCACGTTCTATTCAAGTGCAAAGAAGAGTCATCAAAACAACCCTCAATAATTTAGAAGTCTGAAATCATACAAAGGATGTGCTTTGATCCCAACATAACTAAACAGAAATCAGTAACTACGATTTCAGAAGTTTTTGAATATTTGGAAATTAACCGCACAGCCAAAATCGTTCAGAATTCTGAGAAGACATTACACACAAAAAAAGTAGAAAATGCTTTGACCTAAATGATAAAGAAAAGATTACAATTTTTGGAATGCAGATAAAACAATATTAAGTGGGAAATTTTGAACCTACCTTTATGACCCTACATAAGAGATGATATGACTTCCCATAACAATTACTCTAAATCTGAATAAGGAGCCAGGAGAATAGAAGGTCATGTCTGAATTTCATACTTGGGTGACAGACTGGGGCAAGGAGAGGTAGTGAAGTTCTTGTATCTTAGAAATAGCCTTTCTCTAGCATTATTCCTTTTATATTATTTGTGTTGTAAGTTCAGCATAGTATCAGGCACACAGCAGAAAATCATAAAACAAACATATTTAAAGAAGAAATGAGTAAGGAATTTGTCTAATAACTACAAAAGATTTTCTAACTACAAATATTTCATGTTGTTAAGTGCCACCAAGTCATTTCTGATTCATAAAAACACCATATGGGGCTTTTGAAAAGTGGCTAGTGGTTTTGAACTGCTGATTTTCATATACTTTGTTATTGTTGTGTTAAGTGCCATTAAGTAGGCTCCAACTCATGGTGACCCTATAGGGTTTCCAAGGAGCAGCTGGTGAGTTTGGACCACCAGCCTTGCAGTTTAAACCGACTATGCAGTCCAGTTACTCTCATTAAATACTCAGAACCAATTTACGGGATAAATTACCACTGCTCCACTTTATATAGAAGTAAAATATAAATAGGAAACAATGCAGGAAGGGAACTTCATTAAAGACAGGTGATACCATATCAAGTATACATACCTGGTACTTCTAGTAGCAGAAAATAAAGCCCAGCAGCATGAAGGCCATATTCTCGAAACTGCACACCGATGTTTTTCTTATGTACTATTTGAACAAAGTGATAAAACAATGCCACCAGTGCACTATGAGAAATATTGTTCTCAGTGAAGAAGGTCCAAAGATTCTAGGGGAGGAGAAAAGAGGATAAATCATCGAAGTCAATAATTAGAGAAAGGCAAATATCTTCTGTTTGATTTTTTCTCAAGTACTTAGTGCCTTACAAATTGAGGAATAGACCAGTCTGACTTCTAATAACAAATGCTTGCTATTTTCAGAGAAAATGTAATTTTTAAAAATATGCTATTCAACTTTGATTTTTATTGTTTAAAATTACAAAAATAAGCATGTTCAATTAATCAAACCTTCAAAAAACAGGTAAATTTTAACAATGTAAACTTCTGAAACTATTAAAGGCTGACAATACACTAAGGCTTTGGACCTTCCCTACATGAGTTATTAAAGGAGCACTTATAGCATAATGGTCAAGCACACATAATGACAAGAAATAATCAGCACTCAGTAAAGTCACCTTCAATACCCAATAACCACTTTTCACAGTAGTTACTGAGGAACCCAGAGACGGACATTGCTTGCCTAAGGAGCTCTGGTAGCTTAATGGTTACGAACCGGGCTGCTAACCTCAAGGTCAGCAGTTTGAAACTACCAGTTGTTTCGTGGGAGAAAGATGAAACTTGCTGCTCCCATAAAGATTTACAGCCTTGGAAACCCTGTACAGGGTCGCTGTGAGTCGGAACTGACTCTATGGTACTTAACAACAACCACCACCCCTGGTAATGCTGTAGGATAAGCACTGGAACACTAACCTAAAGCTTGGTGATTCAAACCCACCAGACACGCTCTCTATATCCAATCAGCTGAGCACTTTGCTCTGTGACTTAGGTATGTGAGATATGCTGACTTGCTCACTATTAATACTCAAAAACCATCCGTAGTAGAAGTGTCTCGTTAACAAACGGTGCTAGCAAACCGGATCTCCATTGGCAGGAAAATGAAACAAGACCCACAGCTCACACCATATACAAAAACAAATTCAATGTGGATTAAAGACCTAAATGTAAAATCTAGAAATATAATCATCAATAAAAAATTAAGGACAAACTTAGGGGCTCTAATGCATGGCATAAATATACTGTCAAACATCATTAAAAACACACAAACAGTAAACGTCAAAATAGATGAGTAGATGACTGGGACTTCCTAAAACTTAGACACTTATGTTCATCAAGAGATTTCACCAAAAGAGTGAAAAGGGAGCATAGAAACTGGGGAACGTTTTTTTGCAACAACATATCAGACAAGTGAATAATCTCTAAAATTTATAGACAACACTTGTACAAGAAAAAGACAAGCGATTCATTTAAACAATAGGCACTGGGCACGGACAGACATTTCACCAAGGAAAACATTAAGGCAGCCAACAAACAGGAAATATTCATGATCATTAGTTGTCACTGTTGTTAAGTGCTAGCAAGTCAGTTCTGACTCACAGAGACACTGTACAGGGCTTCGAAGGAGTGGATGGCGAGTTTGAACCACCGACCTTGTGGTTCAAACCAACCTTGTAATCCACAGAACTTTACTCCATCATTAGTGTTGTTCCTAAGTGCCGTCAAGTCAGTTCCGACTCGTAGCAACCCTGTATAGGGTTTCCAAGGAGCAGCTCGTAGGTGTGAAATGCCATGTGGTTCCTAGTCCAGTACTAATCATACATCATACTAGTAGTCATTAGTCATTGTTGTCATCGTTAACAATGCCATCGAGTCGATTCCAACCCACAGTGACCCTGTATAGGGTTTCTGAGGAGCAGCTGGTGTACTTGAACCACTGACCTTGCAGTTCAAATGGTTTTGTAGTCTGGCGCATTAACCTACAATGCCACACCAGGACTCCAAAATCAAAACAACAATGAGATTTCATCTCAAAATAGCAAAGTTAAAAGAAGCAGAAAACAACAAATGCTGGCAAGTTGTGGGGAGACTGGGACCTACCTATACAGCTGGTAAAACTGTAAAATGGTTCAACCACTATGGAAAATGGTATGATGTTTCCTCAAAGAGCTGGAATAGAAATACTAAGAAATAGCTTATAATCCACAATTCCTCTACTTGGTATATATCCACAAGAAATATGAGCCAGGGCACAAGTAGATCTATGCATACTGATGTTCACTGCAGCATTATTCATAATAGCAAAAAGATGGAGACAGACTAAATGCCCATCAATGGAAAAATGGATAAACAAACTTTGGTACATACACACAATGGAATACTATGCAATGTTGAAGAACGAAGAATCTGTGAAAAATCTCATAACATGGATGAACGTGGAGGACATTATGCTGAGTGAAATCAATCAATCACAAAAGGACAAATATTGTATGTGAGCACTGTTGTAAAAACGCAAGAAAAGGTTTCCATGCTAAAACATTCTTTGATGATTACCAGAGTAATTCACTGGTGAGAGGGTAGACTGGGATGGGGAGGGCAATATACAAGAAGAGGGAGATTGGCAGAAGAATGATGAAGACAGGTGACAACACAAGGAGTTATGCAAGGGCTAGAGTATAGAGGTAAATCGTGTTATATACACAACCTTGGAATGACAATGTTCTGTGGGTAGATACATGGACAGAATGGGTATGGGAGGAAGAGTGGGAGTATACACCAAATACATGGGTTTGAAACAGGAGAACACAGAAAAATCTTTGTGACTCATAGCGACCCTATGTACAAAAGAACAAAACACAGCCTGGTCCTGGGCAAACCTCACAATTGTTACCACACTTGAGCCCACTGCTGCTGCCACTTTGCCAATCCATCTCGCTGGGGGTCTTCCTCTTTTTCTCTGACCATACACCTTACCAAACATGATATCCTTCTCCAATGACTGGTCCCTCCTGACAATATGTCCAAAGTATGAAAGACGAAGTTTGGCCATCCTGGCCTCCAAGGAACACTCTGGATGTACTTCGTCCAATACAGATTGATTCGTTCTTTTGGCAACCCATGGTACTTTCAATATTCTCCTCTAACACTATAACTCAAATGTATCAATTATTCTATGATCTTTCTTATTCACTGTCCAATTTTCACATGCATACTAGATTACTGAAAATACAATGGCTTGGGTCAGTTGCACCTAAGTCCTAAAACTGACATCTTTGCTCTTCAACACTTTATAAAGGTCTTGTGCAGCAGATTTGCCTAATGCAATACGTTGTTTGATTTCTTGACTTCGGTTTCCATGAGTTTTGATGGTTATTCCGAGAAAAATGAAATCTTTGAAAACTTCAATCTTTTCTCCGTTGATAAGAATGTTGTTTACTGGTCCAATGGTGAGGATTTTTGTTTTCTCTTCATTGACATGCAATCCATACTGAAGGCTGTGATCTTTGATCTTCATCAGTAAGTACTTTAAGTCCTCTTCACTTTCAGCAAGCAAGGTTGTATCATTTACATATTGCAGGCTGTTAATGAGTCTTCCTCCAATCCTGTTCTTCACACAACCCAGCTTCAAGGGTTATTTGCAGACAGGTTAAATAAGTATGGTAAAAATATACAATCCTGTTGCACACCTTTCTTAATTTTAAACCATTCAGTGTTCCCATGTTCTGTTTGAACAACTGCCTCTTGGTCTACATACAGGTTCCTCATGAGCATAATCAAGTGTTCAGGAATACTCATAGTTTGCAAAGTTGCCCATAGTTTGTCATAATCCACACAATCGGAAGCCTTTCTATAGTCAATAAAGGACAGGTAAGCATCTTTCTGATATTCTCTGCTGTCAGCCAAGATCCATCGGACATCAGGAATGATTTCCCTCATTCCACGTCCTCTTCTGAATTTGACTTGAACCTCTGGCAGTTCTTTGTCAATGTATGGTTGCAACTGTTTCTGTATTACCTTTAGTAAAACTTTACTCTCATGGGAATCAAAGATACTGTCCGATGATTTACATATTCCGTTGGGACACCTCTCTTTGGAATGGACACAAATATGGATCTCTTCCAATCAGTTGGCCAGATAGCTGTCTATGCCAAGAAAAATCTTTAGAATTCAAGAAAACACTGTAAGAACAGACAGACAAGTTAAACGTGTATTTTGAAACAATACAAACCCTGCAGTTAGAAATTCAAAAGATTAATACTAAGATTTCAGAAATGGACCACACATTGAAAGCACAAAGTAGTAGATTTGAAGCAATGGAATTCCAAACCAGTGAATTTGAAGACAAATCTCTTAATACTAGTTTGCTAAAAGAACAATCAAAAAAAAAAAAAGAAAAAAGCCTAGAAGTTATGTGGGACACCACGAAAAGGAAGAGCTATGGGTGATAAGAAATCCAGAACAGAAAGAGACAATGAGAAAAGCACAGAGAAAATTGTCAAAGAATTGTTGGAAGAAAATTTCCCTAATACATGAAATGTAAGCACACAAGAAGCTAAATGAAATCCAAATAGCACAGATCCCAAAATAAAGTCACCAAGACATATCATAATTAAACTTTCCAAAAACAAAAACAAGAATCCTGAGAGTAGCTGAATTAAAACAAAAAGTTATCTTCAAAGAAGAACCAAGAAGACTAAACCCTGATTTCTAAGCAGAAACCATGAAGGCAAGAAAGTAACGAACGGACATATACAAAACTCTGAATGGAAATAGACTGTCAAGCAAGAACCATATACCCAGTAAAGCTGTTCTTCAAATACAATGGGGAAATTAGTATATTTCTAGATAAATAGAAATTAAAAGAATGTGTAATAACAAAATCAACTTTTCAAAAGACACTAAAGGATGTTCTTTGGACTGAAAAGCAACAACAGCAGACAACCACTTAAGATTAGCATACATACAAGACCACCCAGAACTCAATCCAGATATAGAAGTATTTAAAGGAAAACAAGCCTACAAGACTGAAAATAGGGAACCAGAGAAACCAATGCAGAATGAGGTCAACTACAAAGCAAAAAGAGGAAATAGCGTAGATATTAAATGGGGGGAGGGGGGAACATGAATAATTTACAGGGTAACCTCAAACAAAATAAAAAAGAGGAAAACCATAAGGCTTTAGTAAACATTAACACAACAGAAGTGAAAATGAAAAGAAAACCCACAAAATAAACTCATTGCAGAAAACTATGCGGAACAAAGAAACCAGCAGCACCACAAAAACCCACACACAAAAAACCCCCCCCACACACACAGCCAAGTCACAGCACTCAATTCACACCTTTCATAATTATATTGTATGCAAATGAATTAAATGCAAAAGTCAGGTGACAGAGTAGCAGAATGGATAAGGAAAGAGAATCCTTCAATATGCTGTCTACAAGAGACAAATAAAAAAGCCAGGAGACAACCTAAATGCCCATCAACAGAAGAATGGTTAAACAATCTCTGAAACATACATGGAATGGAATACGATGCAACAATAAAGAATAATGACAACTTTGCAAAACACCTCAACAACATGGAGGACATTATGCTGACCGAAATTTGTTAACCACAAAAGGCCAAATATTTTATGAGGAAAATGTAAAAAGTTAAAAAAAGGTTTTCTTGGTAACAGAAACATTCTATGATGGTTATGGGGGCAGGAAAAAGTATTCACTAGGTAGAGGATGTTGCTGTTAAGTACAGTCATGTTAATATGGGTGACAAGGCAGGCAATATACAAGAGCGAGGTTAGCAGAGGAAAGACGAAGGTAGTGGGAGACAAAGGGGTTAAAGTGAGTAAAGGTAAATACCATTCACTGTTGGTACATACATGGAGAAGATTGAGATCATTGTAATGAAGCAAAGGATATGATTTATTGAATGTAAAACTGATGATCTGCTCTGTAAATCTCAACTCAACTCATAATCAAAGTTCAAAACAAAACAAGACTAAATTAGTGTTTAGTACTCCTTTTCCAATTCCATATCACACCTGTAACACTCATACAGCCTAGACTAGCACACCTGTCTCTCAAGGGATCTCTTTGTATAATTTCTTCACAATTTAGCCCACGTGTAATCAAGAATTTATGTCCTGAAACGCACCTATTACAATAGTCTATTGCTCATTGTCCTGGTGTGGTGTGTGGGTTAATGTGCCAGACTGCAAAGCCATTTAAACTGCAAGATTGGCAGTTCAAGATCACCAGCTGCTCCTCGAAAACCCTCTACAGGGTCGCTATGGATCGGAACCGACTCAATGGCACTTAACAACAACAACATGATGGCTCATTGTAAGCTCTTCTTCAGAGGACTAGTGGTTAGGATTAGATAAATTCTAATGTTTAAAATTGAATCTGATAGACAGTAAACACACAATGAGAAAAAATTTGGAACCCCATTTAAAAATTTCCATAATCTATTCTCAATCTAATTTACCATCCTATGTTCCACACACATTTTCAAAACTTGTATGCCATTCATACCACATGACTCTCAATTCCCTAAACATTCCCTGAAGTCTCACTGTGTTACTTCTTTACTAGGATTGCCCTATGACCTCAATTTTTGCTAGTCAACATCTATGTGCCACTTTTGAAGACCCACCTGACACTCTATCCTCTCTGAAATGGCTTGGTTCATCTTGGTTTCACCTGTTTTCTTTTCTTTTTATTTGCTATTGTAAAAAGTGATCATGACTTGAAAAAAATGACACACTAATACCTTGAAAGTTTTGAAGAAAAGCCATTAGGATATTCTAATAAATGACTATATTTTTTAGTGCTGTCCTAATTGTATTCCTTATAGACTGTACACTAAAATAACTAAGCTTCACATTATAATGATATCCATCTTCCACTTCTAATCTCGAAGGATGGGTTATTTTTCTTTTTTTACCTCTGTAAATCCATGTTCCTCAGCAGCAAAAGGGAAAAGACTCTCATAAAGCTTCGTAAATGCATCCAATCCATTCTCTAAGATCTCGGCCTCTATGCTGGAATCCAAAGGTTCTGTCTCTGTGAAGTCCAATTCCCATACTGTGTCTACCCATGCTATTGAGAAAATGTAATGAAATTAATAAGTGCTCAATAAGTAAGCAGCAATTTTTATACTCTAAGTACATTCAAGAGAAGAAAAATACATTAGTCATAACCCACCTTTAATTATACAATATAAGGTACAGCATAATTTAAAAAAGCAGAAAAGGGCAAGAAAAAATGTTTTTATAATAACTGGTAGCTGACTATGAGTTTGGTCATCTTTATAAAATATCAAGAAGGAAAACAACTGAAAATTACTTCATGATCAGACATTGCCACATGCTCAATATGAAGTAACAAATTAATCAATAATTGCCTCAGATTTCCTTTGTGAAAAAATCTCAAAACCAAGTTAACAAATCCAATTATAGTTCATAGTACTTTTATTGGGATCTTGGACAATACTGTGTTGCTGTTGTTATTAAATGCCACTGAGTGGTTCCAACTCATAGCAACCCTGTGCAGGGTTTCCAAGGAGTGGCTGGTAGATTTGAACAGCCAGCCTTGTGGTTCAAACTGACCTTATGATCCAGTGCTTTATCCTATAGCACCACATCAAAACAATATTGTAGCATGCTAAAAACATATCATTTCCCAAAAAAAGTTAAGCTAGAAGAGACATGTCAGACTCATGTGCACAGAAATATTTTCACAGTGATTTCATAATAAGCTGATGGCTTGAGGATATAATTCTGAGTGAAACTGTTGTTGTTGTGAAATGCCACAAAAGGGCAGATATTGCATAAGTCCATTATTATATACACTTAAGAAAAGATTTCCATAAAGAATGATTTTCTGAGGGTTGCCAGGGGCGAGAGGGATGGGACAGTAACTCACAGGTCAGGGGATAGACCTATGTTAACTTGGGGGACTGGGAGGGCAATAAGTAGGAGGGGGAAGGCAGCACACAAAAAGGGGGAGTAGAGAAGAGGAGCGGGGAAGATAGGGAGACTCCGTGAAGTACTAAATAGAATAGAGGTAGACTATGACAGGTGCACAGCTTTGGAATAACAAGGCTCTATAATATAGGGATCGAGGCATAGGCTGAAGGGGTAAAGGAGAGGAAATAATGTTAAGATGTTCAACTATTCACAAAAGGGCAAATATTGCATAAGGTCATTATTGTAAAAACTTAAGAAAAGATGTCCATACTAAAAGAAAAGAAAATCGTTATTGGTTAATAGAGGGTGGGAGGGAAGGGGCAGTAAGGCACAGGTTGGGGATAGTCACATCATAACTTGGGTGACGGGGAGGGCAATAAACAAGGAAGGAAAGGGCAATTAACAAGAAGGGGAGGGTGGAAGAATAAGACCAGGGAACAATAGGTAGGCTTGCATGGGCTAAATGGGACAGAGGTATGATGTATACTCAACCTTGGAACAGCAGGACTCTGTGATACAGGGATTGATACATATTCTGAATGGGTAAATGTGGGAAAATAATGTTAAAGTGCTTGACTGTTTTATGGCGATTAGTTTCCTTTGCCTGCTATTGTAAAACAGACATTTGAGTGGAATGGAAAGGAATACTGGAATATAAGATTACAGAAAGCTTGTGACCCCATCTTCAGCCTATAACTGACTGAAATACCTAAAAGGGGTCCTAGAACTTGCCCAGTAAAATGGACTTCTTGTGGAGCTTTTTAGGTGGAATCCTGCGCCCCATCCAGAACCTTCTGAGGTGGGACATTCCCATTTGAAAGGATATGCAGACCAACCCATAGCAGCTTGTGGAACAGAAGATACTTCTTAAAAGAAAGACCATCAGGAAAAAAATAAATAAATAGAAGACTGTTTGGCTATTACAAGAACAAGCAAGCTGATCACCTGGGAGCCATCAAGGCAAGCCATCAAGTTCATTCAGCCATCAAACCCCCTTCCAAGACTGAAACTCTAAAGGGAACAAACAAGCAGGCTTGTAATCGCACTAATGACCATGTTGATCTACTTGTGAGTGGAATTGGGGAAAGGCAGTAATGAAGACATGGGCTGAATTTGACCACATTCCATAGACTCCTGTCAACCTTGATATGAGAGAAAGAAAAGGAAAGGTTGGTTGGTCTGAAGTTTGGGGGACTTGGAAACTCCTGAGCCCACAAACACTGGCTTGAGCTGAGAGTGAAGCATCCAGCTGCTATGAAGTAGGGGGAGGGATGTAAGAATTGCCCAAACTTGCAGATAGTACCCATTTCACCCAGCTTGGATGGCTTGATAATCAGAACTTCACTAGAGGAAGATAAAGAAATTTGATACAGGAAGTATAAATTGCTACAATTTGATGAACTTGACCTGTACTTATGGATGTGGTGGTGGTGGTTATGTGCCATAGAGTTGGTTCCTACTCATCAGGATCTGTATAGGGTTTCCAAGGCTATAAATCTGTACAGGAGCAAAAAGCTTCATCTTTCTCACACAGAACCGCTGGTAGTTTCTACCAACTGAGAGGGAAGGGAAGGAGTCTTCACATCAAGAATCAAAGCTATCTTCTCATTCATTACACAGGGTTGATAGGCACGGGCAACTTAGACATTGGCTACCTAAAATGTAGGGGAGCTATAAAGGCACAAGGTGGCTGGCTTCCAAGTTTTCAAGAAAAAGTTTAGTTTCAGAGTGTGTGGAGGAAAGTAGAATCCCTACTTAATAGTTTTCATCTTGTCTACATGGGTCTGGTAAAAGGCGATGGGGATAGGATTTTTTTGATTCAACAGTAACTGTTATCATGACTAATTGAAATTGTTACAACTATAAAGGTAGTTTTGTAACAAAAAGGGGGGAGTATTTAATCGTACATTCTAGAAACAGAGGACCCTAGGAATAGCAGGAGAAGAACACAGGATCTTAACCAGAGAAGCAGTGACACCAGTGACTGAGGCAGAGGTGATGGTATGGAGAGATACAGCAGCTGAGGACTCTAGCTTCATGGAAAGAGAAAGGCTGTGTGCTGGCGGGCAGGAGGCTGACTGGAAAACTGCCCTTTAGTTGTAAGTTTGTTATATATTCCTGCATGGTTTTGTGTACATCCAAAAAAAAGAGGGAATAAAGGCAAATATTGTTTGTTAACCGATGGTGTATGGGGAAGGGACTGTAATCATTGTAATGAAACAAAATAGATTCGTTGAGTGCAAAATTGATTTTCTACAATGTGAATCATCACGTAATTCATAATACAATCTTAAAAAAAAAAAAAAGCTGATGGGAAAGAATTAGTCATAAAGACACACTGTGGTATTAATACAGCATTCTAGTTGAATCTTCATCAAGCTCTCCTGACTCCAAACCTTTTTATAGTTTTCTAACAAATTAGAATACACTTTAATTCTCAGAACCACAAAGAAAGGTTGAAGCTACCATCTCTGGTTTTTCTTTATTCGTTCTCTATGCCTTGCTCAACTTCTCTAGATCAGTGGCAAATAAACATTTAAAGACTACCGATTTGAAGGAGCATCTAATTAACAACCAGTTCAGGCTTGCCCATGTTTACATCTAAGTCCTAATATTAAGCTTTGGAGAATGACAAGCCTAGATCCTACTAATGACTTGGCCTTTACTAAACTTCAGACTTCTGTCAAATCTCTTATCCTCTACTCAAACCAGCAGGATTTGGCCCAAAGCCTCAGCCTCATTATATGTTTCCTCAACTGTCAGATGGTGAGATTGCCTAGTATTACTTCAGTTGGGACAGTAGAAAAGGAGGAAATATAGCATGCATCCACTGAACAATTCTGAAAAACTACACTAGGGAAGTCTCTATAAATACTGCGGATACGTAAATGGGTACTGGAGAATTCTTGTCCACAAAGATCTCACCATCTCATTACCCCCCCCCAAAAAAAGTAGCATGTAACAGGTGAAATACCACTAAATTCTGAGTCAGATAAAAACAGGCTAAAACCCTGACTTGATCACTTATGTGTCATTAACCTATTCTTCATTGGATGGATTACTGAATTATTGCAAATGATAATATGTACAATAAGCCTGCAATTGCCATATAGGTACATTTCCAACTCAGGGTGTAAATCTTTACATGAGCAGAAAGCCTCATCTCTCTCCAACAGAGTGGCTGGTGGACCCGAACAAGTGACCTATGGGATAGTAGTCCATTTCTTGTTCAACAGCGCCCTGAGCATTCCTTGCCACATAGGAGATAATAAATGATAGCTGCAATTTTTACCCACCACTTGTCTGTAGCTTAGTGGTTACGAATCGGGCTGCTAAACCTCAAGGTTGTTGTTATGTGCCGTGGAGTCAGTTCCGACTCATAGCGACCCTGTACAGGGTTTCCGAGGCTGTAAATCTTTACAGGAGCAGAAAGCCTCATCTTTCTCCTGCGGAACAGCTGGTAGTTTCGAACTGCTGACCTTGCGGTTCACAGTCCAATTCATAACCACTACGCTACCAGAGCTCCTTAAACCACAAGGAAGGCAGTTCAAAACTAACAGCTGTTCCGCGGGAGAAAGATGAGGCGTTCTGGTCCTGTAAAGATTTACAGCCTCGGAAACCCTGTACAGGGTCGCTATGAGTCGGAACCAACTCCACGGCACATAACAACAACCACTTGTCTGTAAGTTTGTTGTACTGTGTTGGCTTGGGTGTTGCTATGATGCTGGAAACTATGTCACCAGTGTTTTAGACACCAGCAGGGTCACCCATGGTGGACAGGTTTCAGCAGAATGCCAAGGCAATGTGGCTCCAAACGCTGTCATCTGTAAAAGCTGGCTAATCAGTGAAGGTTCTTTTATACAGAACACCAAGGATTTAGTTACTTCTTTTGAAAAGAAGGGCATATTAAAGGTTTAAAGACCTGACATGTTAAAACTTGTACTTTAAAAAGTGATCCTACTGGATTTATGGCAGGTGAGCTGAAATAGGTGGTATCAGAAAGCACACTGCAATCATCCAAATTCGCTCTCATGAGGGCTTAAACCAGATAGCAACAATAGGAACAGAGCATGAAGCCCACGAAAGGCATTTCTAAGGGTAAGACAATTGGTTCTGGGTATAAAAAGCATAGGGGATTCCCAACTAATGATGGCCCAGTATAGGGTTTCCAAGGAGCGAGTGGTGGGCATATAAACCTGTGGTTAGCATTCCAACGCTTCTCCTAAGTGCCACACCAGGACTCCAAAACTAAAAATTGACTGTTAATTTTAGGAAGGAAGTTTTGGTTTAATCAGAGAACTATGCATTCTGTGTTTTGTTGTTTTTTTTAAAAAAATACATGCGGATAAAAAATTTAACACAAAATTTCTCAAAATCAACTCCTTTGTAAATAAAGCTTATTTTTGAAGGGGGAAAAAAAAAGTCATGACTGAGGTTTGTGGACTGACTGGTGATGCCTTTAGCTGCTTAGCTGGTAAAGGAGGATTCCTTTCCATTCTTGTAACATTTGAGGTGCCTGTAAGATGTTTAATTGAACATAAGAACATAAAATTTAAAACTAGTCTGACTGAAGAAATAGATTTGCTATTTAAAACCAAAGGAATAAACGAGGTTGCCCCAGAAGATTTGCAGAATGAGAAGCAGAAAAAGAACACAGATGTAAAAGAATCAAAAGAGCTGCAAAGCTCTTTTATTTTTAACGGTTCCTTTATTCGGCTGAGTCTCCTATTTTAAAACCTAGCTCATCAGCGCCAAGGGCAGACACAAACCAAGCGACACCAGATACCACTGCCCTCCTCTCTCTCTCTCTCACACACACACACATACACACACACACACACACACACACTCCCTCTCACTCCGGACCTGGTGCCGAACTTGCCCCCTTACACACAGAAACACACAGCAGGCCGGAGCCAAGCTCGCTCCCCTCCCCACTCTCCCTCTGTCTCTTTCTGTCTCTCTCAGACCAGCCATCCGAGGACCGACGCTATTAGGAGAGCCGCCAGTCCACACTTCCTATTCCCCCCACCGTGATCCCGGGCTCCATGAGCTCACCCAGACTGAGATCCACAGGGCACCAGGGCTGCAAACTGCACTGAAGCCTCTGCAGAGCCATGGCCTCCGCGCCGCCACTCGCCTTCCGGGTACTCAACTTCAGAGCTCGCTCCCGCGCGCGCTCCCAGACTTTCCTTCGAACCAATTAAAGCACAAGAGAGTTCCCCACCAGCCAATCATCTCAGTCAAGTCAATTATTTATCCCATTAACCAATCACCTCTGGTCTTCTGGCGCGTGCGCAGAAATTGAGCAAGCCGGATTTATAATCTAGTGGTGCCGTGGTTAAAGCGCTGGACCGCTAACCAAAACACGGGTCGTTAGCGTAGTGGTTACGAATCGGGCTGCGAGCAGCAAGATCAGCAGTTCGAAACTACCAGCGTTCCACGGGAGAACGATGAGGCGGTCTGCTCCCGTAAAGATTTACAGCCTCGGAAACCCTGTGTAGGGTCGTTATAAGTCAGAACTGACTCCATGGCACATAACAACAACAGCACTCGCCAGCTGCTAGGCAAGAGTGAGAGTGGAAGTCAGCCCCATACGTTTTTCACCCTTGGAAACCCTATGAAGCAATTCTATTCTGCCCTATAGGGTCGCCGTTATGAGTCGAACTTTGATAGCATTGGGTTGAGGCTTTGTTTTCCTTCTCACGTTTTCAAGGTGGTGGTTTTTGTTAAGTGCCTTCGCGTCGATTTTGACTCATAGCGACCAAGGGGTGACTGGTGAGTTTAAACCTTCGACCATGTGGTTCAAACTGACTTTGCGGTCCAGTGCTTTAAGCCACACCAGTGTGCTTCCAGAAAACAAAACCCACTGACATGGAGTTGGATTTGGACTCTTGCTTTTGTTGCTGTGTACTGATGAGTGGGTTCTGATTCATTATTGTTGTTAAATGCCATCGAGTCTATTCCAATCCATAGCAACCCTTTCCAGGGTTTCTAAGGAGCAGCTGGTGAACTTGAACCGCCGACCTTGCAGTTCAAATGACTTTGCAGTCTGATGCATTAGCCCACAGCGCCACACCAGGACTCCCCTGACTCCTAGCAGCCCTGTATCAATTAACCAGGCTGTGTGGTGCTGTAGGATAAGCACTTGAATGCTAACTACAAGGTAGGCGATTCAAACCCATCAGCCACTCCTCGGAAACCCTACACAGGTCGCTAGGATAGGGACGGACTAGACAGCACTTAAGAACATCTTTATGGGAGCAGAAAGCCTATCTTTCTCCCTGGAGCAACCCGTGTTTTTTAACTGTTGACCTTGTGGTTAGCAGCCCAACATGTAACCCATTGTGGAGCAGACGTCATCTCCAGCAGAGCCACTGGTGATTTGAACTGCAAACCTTTGCGGTTTGCAGTCCAGGGCTTATTTTATCGCCTTATTTTCCCTAAATGTGAGGGGACGTTAAAAAGAATTCTAACGGATACTTCCTGTAGAAATTTTTACCTTTGCCCCCTCAAGTTATATTACCTTGCGTGTCAAAGGGCAACCTTCACCTCCTTTAGACAAGAGACTTTGTACATACCCAGAATGGGTGGCAGTTCAACATGGAATTAAAATAAGGAACGAGCAAACGCGGGAACTCAGAAAGCACCTGCAGTCCTTTACATCATGTAAGAGGTGGGCCCAGATTCTCCCAAAGGGACGCTGCGATCACCATGTTGACTAAGGGCGAGGCCAGCCTCAGTCTCCTGTTGCGCGTGCGCAAGGCGCGTTCTCCAGCCCGGCGCGCCTGAGCAGAGCCTTGCGCATGCGCGGGCACCCAGCGTCCGTGGCCGGAGAGCCCCTTAGTCCGCAGGGCTGTCCTCCCTTGCCGCGTAGCCGCTGGAGCTCGACGGTGTGCCTCTCACCCCGGAGCCGGGAAGCTAGTCTTGGTTGCCTGGCGCTTAGCCCCGCCCGGCGGGCGCAGCGGCGACGCCTGCCGGCTCCGCACTGCCGCTCCACTCCGGGTGTGGGGTACCCCGCCGCGAGGCCAGCATCGTTGTGCGGACAATCGTCTGCACGCGGCCGCCGGCTGCTCGGGGCTGCAGAGGCAGGCGGCCCTTGGGGTCGCCTCTGCAGGCGCTGCCTCCAGCCTCGGTTGCTATAGCCACTCCTCACACACCGCAGCCCACCCCAGTGCACCCGACTGGCCTGAGTCCTAACTCGGTCGGGTATACAGAACCGGGCTGCAGTTCGGCCCGCCCAAGCCGGGGCCAGTACAGAGTGCTCTGGTCCCCCCTAACGCAGCGCCCACCGGAAAGCAGGAGAAGCGGGCCTTGCTGACACTAGCCCCAGTCCACCCAGCCGGCGGTGCGATGAGCTTCTTCGGCTTTGGACAGAGCGTGGAGGTGGAGATCCTGCTTAGCGATGCAGAGAGCAGGAAGCGGGCCGAACACAAGACAGAGGACGGCAAGAAGGAGAAGTATTTTCTTTTCTATGACGGGGAGACGGTGTCCGGGAAGGTGAGCCTCGTACTCAAGAATCCCAACAAACGGCTGGAGCACCAGGGCATCAAGATTGAGTTCATTGGGCAGATCGGTGAGTTCACCCGGGGAGCAGAAAGTAGGTGGACCAAGCACCGAGATAGGGCTGGAGGGATGACTTGGGGGCTCAGATGCATGCTGGGGACTGGGCTCCGCTATAATTCCCGCTCATGGTGACTACCTGCGTGACCGCCTTCCCTGCTAGATTTGACAGCGCCCAGCGATTGGGTGGGGAGGATTAAGGATGAGAGGGTCCGCCCCCGCCGTACCCCTGCGCTGTCGACACCTGCCTCTTGGGCACCTAAGTTGTCTCTTCCACATCCTGCTAAGCACAACTCTGGCTGCAGGTGGGCCTGTTAAGGGGGAAGACCCTTCTAATGCTGAAGTTACCACCATATGGACACCTAGACTCAAAGAGCCCTCTGCCCACTTAGTTGCTCTTCTACCCAGGCCTTTTTACTTTTAGATGTGGATATGGGAGACACTGCCTGTCAAATCCTCTCTTGGCTTCTTTTCTTGTTTGTCTCATCTACACGTTTCAAGAAAGACCTGTTATTTTCAGCCCCATTCTTATTGATTGCATTTTTTAAAACTTCTTTATTAGATTGCTAGTTTTTAGTTGATTTTCTCCTTAAAGACAAAGAAATAAAGACTGCTTATATATTGTTCTTATTAAAATCCTCTTCTAAAATAAATTGGCTTGGAGCAGAATCAAAAAAATATCCTATGTACTGAACACTTACAGTGGTGGGGGTTATGTGCTGTGGAGTCAGTTCCAACTCATAGCAACCTTGTAAAGGGTTTCCAAGGCTGTACATCTTTGCAGGAGCAGAAACTCTCATGTTCCTCTTGCAGAACTGCTGGTAGTTTCATACTGCTGACCATGAGATTAGCAGCCCAACTCATAGCCACTACACTACCAGAGCTCTTTGAACATTTACAGTAGAGAACCCCATACCCTATTCCCTCCACCACATATAAGGAGCTCTGGTAGCGAACTGGTTACAAATCAGGCTGCAAGCCGCAAGGTGAGCAGTTCGAAACTACCAGCTGTTCGGTGAGAGAATGATGAGGCTTTCTGCTCCTGTAAAGATTTACAGCCTCAGAAACCCTGTACAGTGTCACTATGAGTCGGAACTGACTCCACGGCACATAACAACAACAACACATGTATAATAGTAGTATTTTAATGCCTTCTTGGAATAGTTTGCTAAATACTCTCTTGGATCGTGAGAGCTCAGTAAAGAATTTCTTATCCCCCTTTTATAGGAGACATTGAGACACAGGAAGAACCCCAGAATAGGAGTCCCATGTCCTGGCTTTGCAGTCCAGTAGTCAGCCTGAAACATTTCACCTCTGCGAATTAAGAAAATGAAAGCAGGTTGAAGACTAGCTGATCCTGTGGCATTTTTTTGGTTGTTATTTTAAAGCTAGAATTTGAAAGACCTTTCACAGTACCGGAATCCTTAAGGGCACAAATGGCTAAGCATTCGGCTAACCAAAAGGTTGACAGTTCGAACCCAACCAGAGGCACCTTGGAGGAAAGGCCTGCTGCCTGCTCCTAAAGGTTACAGCCATGAAACATTATGGAGCAATTGTACTCTGGACACATGGCATCACCAGGAGTTGGAATCAATTCAACAGCAACTGGTTTGGGTATGGGGTTTGTTTTGTTTTTTACTATGCTCGATAAGTGGGTGGAGAATGAACTGCATACTCTCTGTTTTCCTACTTCTGGCTCACACAACATCAGTGCCAGGGTTTTTCAACAGCACTAAACATTTTGGGGCCACATACTGCTCTGTTGTTGCAGGATTTTTATGGCATCTGTGGCTTCCACCTACTCAATGCTAGTGGTGTTTCCACATGGTGACAACCACAATTGTCCTTTTCCAATGGTAGGTCAACTTGTTCCTGGTAAAGAACACTGTTGTTGTTCTTAGGCACTGTCGAGTCAGTACCAACTCATAGCGACCTTATGCACAACAGATCAAACACTGGCTAAATGGAATTAATCCAAAGCATTTTAACTATTAAGCATGATATTTGAAATACAGAACCCTTGCCTACTTAGAATTAATGTTTTCAAAAAGTAAAGTTAATGCATGGATTCTTTGGTTACAGTAAAGGTAGTATAGACAGACAAGTTTGTACATATACCATCATTACCAGGTGGTTCCTCACTGATATGTGAAAGGGAACCTAGAAATCCCCGCCTCAAAAAGGATAAAATTACCTGCTCTAGGAAGAATGGTGTCAAGGCCTCATCTAGTCTGAATGACAAGTAGTTGAGGAGGCTGCCTGGCCTAATAACTCCTTGAGTCCCCAGACATCCTCCCGGCTGAGTTTCCATAGAACCTTCGGATGTTCCCACTGAAAGCCCTTAACACTCTAAGCGGAGCTGACCATGTGGCTATCGGGGAGCCCGGCCCCATTCAAGGCCTGAGCTTTCGCACCTGTAAAGCAGAGTTAATAGAATCACATTGTGAAAATGTTGAGCATTTCGGGGGATTATTCTTTGAGTTCTTACGTTGCTCTGTGTTGATTTTGAGTTATTTCCAATTCATGGCAAACCCACGTGTGTCAGAGTAGAACTGGGCTGCCTAGACCTTTTTTCCAAGGTGCCTCTGGGTGAACTCCAACTGCCAAGCTTTCAGTAAGCAGCCAAGTGTGTTAACCATTTACATCACCCACGGACTCCACACAAGGGAGTGTTGTTTTGTTAAGTGCTGGTGAGTCAGTTCCAACTCATAGTGACCCTGTATAGAGTTTCTGAGAAGCGACTTGTGGATTTGAACAGCTGACCTTGTGGTTGGTTAACAGTCCAGTGCCTATCCAACAGTGTCACACTAGGACTCTATCACAAGGGACTTGTTGTTAAGGGCCATCAAGTCTGTTCCGACTCATAGTGATACTGTATAGGACTTCCGAGGCTTTAAATTTTGTGGGTTTACAGAAGGCCTCCTCTTTCTTCCCTTGGAGCAGCTAGCGAGCTTAAATCACCAACCTTGTGGTTCACAATCCAATGTCTCTTGTAGGGAGCCACCACACTCCCTTTACAAGAAGTTGTTAAGTGTCATCTAATCGATTCCAACTCATAATGACCCTGTATAGGATTTCCAACTAGTGATAGAATAATACAAAATAATGCTTAATATAATATGCTTTTGCTTTATTTGGCTCTAGGATGTTTATTGTTCAATCAAGGACAAAGCATTAGAATAGGCTTTCTAGTTAAGTTTTTAACTCACACAAGAGGAATTTACATTCCTAAAATAGATAGATTGACTGCTAGTAAAGAGATACCAATCTGTTTGGAAACACACAATGACTTTTCTTAGCCTCCTAGTCTTCTGTCCTCCTGGTGTGGAATATTTGCATCTAGAGATCATAGCTGAATTGACATCAAGCACAATAATAAGCTTAGAGGGAACTTTGCTGAAATTGTGGTCATGTGGTTTTATGCTTCATTACATTCTTTGACTGTGTATGAAGTTGCTAAAACTTCAATAAAATTCTGAGGTCTGACTATACGAATGATGTATGAAGTTGCTGCTAACACATTTTATTCCCAGTTAATTTCTTCTCATTGATTCCATTGTAAAACATAATCTTTGGGTTTCCTTCCTTCTTTCCAGCATGTAGTCAATTCCAAATAGTGACCTTATGTAGGGTTTCCAAGGACAGCTGTTGGGTGTGAACACCAACCTTGTGGTTCACAGTCCAGTGTTTATCCTACAGGGCTATACTAGGACTCCATGGACTTCACTAAAAGTGAAGTGGGCAAGAATTTTCCAGCTTGAAAATGAAGTCTTGTCATTTTATCCTTAAGATTAATTTCTTTTTCCTTCTGATAAAACTGTATTTGTCCCAACTGTGTATTCACTAGTGGAATTACTTACATCATATAAGCCACAATTTATAATAATACCAACTTGGCTAGGATGTTGTCAGATTAGTAATAGTATGTATGAAGTGCAGTGCTTGTCACACATAGAAAGTACTCAATAAAAGGAAGTTAAGATAATAATGACGGTCGTTTTCTCTTTCCTTGCTAAACTTGTTGCATCAAGAAGTTTTTCAGGGGTTTCTTGTTGTTAGTTGCCATGAAGTCAATGCTGACTCATGACAGCCCCAATGTGCAGAGTAGAACTGCTCTATAGGATTGTCAAGGCTGTCACCGTTCAGCAGTAGTTTTCCAGGCCTGTCTTCTGAGGCATGCCTGAGTGAACTAGATATTTGCTCCAGGTTACTCTCTCCTTTGGTCTGTTGTTCTTACCTAGGAATAAAAGAGGGCTTCAAAAAATTGATGGAAACATTAAATTAAAACATCACAGAATTTTGCCACAAACTTTTTGACGTGCCCTCTGTCTTCCTCAGGAATGCAGATAACCCAAGTAAAAGTCAATAAGGAAAAACTCTCAGTCAATACCATGCAGAGAGTGTGTTAATTATTGTATTGGATTACTGTAGACCCAGTTCCTCACAGTGGGTCAGATCTTACTCAGCAAAGGCTCAGTCTAACTCTTGGTTTGTGAAGGAGGCAGGAAGAGGTTTAACTCCTGTTCCTTCCTCCTCTCACTCTGTGAATTTACCATCTTCACCCGTGACTTCAGTGTCTTCCTGTATTCTGATGACTTTCAGACTCTTTCTTTGTCATGACCTGAAGTCTCTTTTAAGTTTCACACCTCTGTTTCTGGCTGTCTGCTGGACATGTACATGCCCCACAGGTACCACAGAGTCATATGCAAAATAGAAAGCCCCATATCTATTCCTTCCACTCACTCCATCCTCAGTCCTGCTTCTCCTAGTTTCTCCATTTAGGCTGATGTCACCTGGAGGGATCATCTTAGGCTCTTTACTCTTCCTCTTCCATCTCCAATTGGCTTTAAGTTTTGTTCCTCTCTAAACCTTATACAGGGTTACTATGGGTTGGAACCGACTTGACGGCACTTAACACCAGCAACAATTACAATACGTTTTTAATTGGGCTTTTTCCTCTCCTTTCTCAATGCCACTGCCTTTATTATTTACATTTGTAACAACCTCCTAACT